CTGATTTTATGTCGCTCATTTTGAAAAGGCCAGGGATGGGAAGGGAGGCGGACAAGATGTCACGGAAGCCCTCTGGCCCCAGCATGCCAGGCGCCCGAGAGTCCTCAGTGTGCCCGGCTGCCGGCAAGTGGCCAAACACCGACACAGAGTGTCCCAGCTTCACTTCTGAGAGTATTTCAGGACTGAGAGTTCCTCCTCCACCAACACAGCACTTTCCAAAACTCAAGGCCACACTGGCCCAATGAGCCTGCCCGATGAAAGCACTGGGACCGCTGGGTGACGGGGACCAGAGCGGGCGTGGGGCTGAGTCTGCAGGATCTGCCCACATAAGATGGAGAAAGACTCCGGCACAAAGCGCATTAGATGCAGGAGATCAGTGTGTCTCTGAGTATGTCTGAGCGCTTTGCAGTCAGGTGCGGGTTTTCCAAAGCACACAGCTGCCATGTACACTTACAGGGATTTTTAACAGCTCAGAAAGCAATACCCCCTGCCCCTGGGCCAGGCGATCCCACTTCCATCCTTTAATTTGTCCAACAATGTAACTACCGAGTTACATACTGAATATTAAACTGTCTCATGGGACAACAGCAGAGGGCATGTCTGCCTACTGGAAAATTCTATTTGGCCACACATGGCCTGGGGGCTGCCCCGCTTTGTGCTGATGAAAGTGGGCCTTCTCTTGGCTTCCCGAGATGCCATTCAGACAGGGGCAGATGTCTGACAGCCGCACACACTGTTCTGGGTGACTCAGGCCTCCGGAAGGTTGTGTTTGATCAGATTCCATGATCCAGAGAGAAGTGACGGACATACAGCTACACGGACCTAGGTTCCGGAGGGGCTGGGAGGCCACAGCCCACGGGAGGCCTGGCTTCTCCTCTGCAGGAGGGCTTTTGTCCAGCGGGGTACACTGAGGCAGACGGGCTTTTGCCAAAGTTCTGTGTGATGTTGCCCTCTTTCTCTTAGGGAATAGGTAAGCGTGGTGTTTTTTTTTTTTTGGTGCCATCAAACAGGATTTACCTCGTTATTACGAAGTGTAAAAAGGACTTAAGGCAGCTCTACAGAGAATAAATGGGAACCTCTGAAATTTCAGCTGATGACATACAGTACGGGGGAGAAAACACACGGTATTAAGAAAATAAATAGCACCGTGCACAGCTGTTCAGCAGAACTGTTAGGAAAAAAAAATTGGCTGGGCAGGAAGGCAGCTTTGGGGAAGGCTGTAATAATATTTCTCATTTTAGAGCTTTGTCTGCCTTTAGCTATCCTGTCAGCAAGTCACTGAAGAAAAGTCAAGGTTCTCTTTGAAAAGGACTAGTTCTGAGGACGGCAGTCAGGCCTCCTTCAGAGAGCGGAGGGGTGGGCTGCGCTTCGCCTCCAGCGGAGCGGGGTGGGAGCCGTCAGGGGCGCCAGGGGCAGGCGCTCCCTGCGTGAAGGCGGGTCTGGAACGCAGGGTCCCAGCCTGGGGCCCACACCCAGACCTGCCTCCTCCGGGGGGTCTCCTCCTGATCCCCACGGTGGCCGCAGTGGACTTGCGGGTCCTCCCGCATTTCCAATCAGCGGGCAGCTCTGCACAGGCGTGACGCGCCTTTTCCACTGGGGTCGCCTTTCCTGGTGTGGCCTCCGGACCTTGCATGTTTAGAGCCAGCGTTGAAGGGCCACTTGCTCCTCGGGCAGATGCTCCTGCCCCATCGTAAGTCCCTTTCCCGGGCCTGTCCCGTGCTGCTCGGTTCACACCGGCTGTGCACGCAGTGGCCTCGCAGCCACGCCGCCTCCCCGGACGGGCTCCCCGGGGCGCTAACTCAGGGTCCGCAGACCACAGCCTGAGATCCATCTGGAACGCCCAGTTGCGCTAAGAATGGTTTCTATATTCTTAAATGGTTGAAAAACAAAACGGACAACATTTCATGACGTGAAAATTATAAGATTCATAAAATCATAAGAACATTCAAATTTCAGCGTCCGCCAATAAGCTTTGCCGGAGCACGGTCACGCTCCCCGGTCTGTGTTGTCCATGGCGGCTTTCACGCCACAACGCAAAGGTGAGCTGCTGTGACAGAGCCTGCGTGGCCCCCAAAGTCTGAGACATTTACTGCCAGACCCTTTACAGAAAGAGCGCGCCGACTCCTGGTCTAACTAGCGCTCCCCGCTCCCCACACTCTCCGGTGTAATTTCCTTAGGAACCTACAAAGAACTGCTCGTGGCACGTGAGGCGACCTTGAGGGCCCGACAAGGGCAGCACCCATGCCAACTGGCTGTAGGACCCGCGCCCTGGAGGCAACGTGGCCTTCCTTCTGTCACCCACAGCTCCTCCCCAGGGCACACCCTACTGGTGTAGGGGCCCCTCTCCTCCCTGTCGGCTTCTTTAAGTCCGAAGCCCCACCACACTGACCTCAGTCCCCAGGGCCCCCCAGAGCGACTGCTACAACACTGGTGGACAAGAAGTACATATACCCTCTCTCTGCAGCACCCTATTTGCCTGGGAGGCAGTTAAATGATTTTTAAAACCACATATGCAATACTAATACCTTGCAATATGCTTTTTTCAAATGGGAAATAAACTTAGAAAGAAAAATTTGCGCTCTTAGGTTCTGCTTCACATTCAGAGGATAACACAGTTATCATAGTCGATGGTGGAAGAACTGATTTCCATTTCACGGGAAGTGCCAATGAAAAAAGGAAATTAATATTCCTAAATCACATTTACTGTCTCGTATCATTTTAATCCTAAAGTCACGACAGAGAAAATCACCTCACGAGTAGGGAAACTGAGGCTTAGCATTTGCTTCGGGTCCCATTGAACCAGGGTTCTAACAAGTCTACACGCTTCCCACTACAGTTAGAAGGGGTGCATTTTCTTTAATTTGCTCCTTTCATGGAAACCACGCATGTTCCAAGCTGTGGTAGCATCCACCACTTCTCCTGCTTCGTGACCCTCTGTAGCACAAGTCCAGATTTCTTGGGTGACAGAACCCTTCGGTGGTTGGGTGAAGGCACCACCCTCTGAGAAAGTGACATGAGCTGCCTTATTCAGACATCAAATACCAAGACCTGTCTCAGGACAAGTCTGGTAATAATGCTGCTGAGGGCAGTTGACAGCTTCAGATATCGTCATAGAAACACCTACAATTCAATTGATGAGAAAGCCACAGATACTGGACACTGTTGCTTATGGCCTGTTCATCGTTAAAGAAAAGGCAGTCTTCAGTTAGAGCTTGTTGAATGGTAAGGACGTTTTTTTCGCCAACGTTCGGGGACCTCAGGGTCTGACCCCCATCCTACTGGTTAGCTAAGAGCCAGCCTGTGACTAGGAGGGACCTTTCTGAAGGTCTAATTAGGTCTCTTAGCACGTTCCAGGAGGACAGAATTCATGATGAATTTCACATCCACCCAAGAATGAAAATCATAATTCTGTACTCTGCTGTAAGAAACATTATGAGAATATTTATGAGTTAATTTGAGCCAAACTGATAATTGCCAGGAAGCAAAATCTCAACGGATTGAGAAAATGCTCCAGAGGATGGCGGTTTTGCAGCTTATTTTATGCATTAGAATCAAAGCAGACGTAAGGAGGGTTACATGGAATCCATGGGTGGTGGCTGAAAGGGGTGGGAGAAAGCGAAGCGGGAAAATCTCTGGGGTTGGGTAAAAAGTAACGTGGAGAGACACATGCTGTTTTTACATTGGTGGGTGCAGGACAGTTAACATTTACAGCACACAGGGATGGTATTCGGGGTATGAGATAGCCACGAGGGGTTCTGTGGTCTTGTGCTCCGGCGCGGAGGGTGTACCCTGAGGGGCCTGGAAAAGAAAATGACTCTGACATTTCCAAGGTATGTTACTCTTATCTTAGACGGAAAAGGTCGACAGGCTCACTTCAGGTAAAGACCGACCTTTGTCAAGGAAGCCACAGGCCTAGGTCCGCCATGACCTGCTTCTAGTTAAGTATTTGTATGTTCAGACCACCCTCTGTGCTTATTTTCGGTCTCTGAGTTTGTAAGGCCCGCCGTGCCCGGCACCCCCTGTGACCCCTTTTTCGTCCACACCTGGGAAGCTGATCGTGCTCGACACAGACTGACACTGGCTTTCACAGGTGGAGTGGCCCCATCAGGCCACGTGCCACATCTGTCACCACTGAGTGGGAAGCACAAATCCTGTGCGCTGACTGGCAGACAGGTCACGGTCACGGCCCACAAGTCTCCTGGTGTGAGCAGCGGACTAGTCATCTCTGAAGTGTTCAAGTGTAGCGACTGAGGAAGCGATCTGGAGGGCCTTCGGAGCCATAGGATCGGAGCAGAAAAACCTTGGTCGCCAATGCACCCCTGACTCCCCCAGGAGAGGACGTTAGCGTTTAATTAAAAAGGGAGGCGATCCATCCACCTGAGTTCAACCCCAACCGGGACGGATTTCACTGATGCTGGACAATGTGCTACAAAAGGAAGGGATCTGAGCAAAGCCTGATGTAACACAGGACATGAACAAGTTCATGTGTTCCTCTCTCAACACCCTCTAATTTAAGCTCTGATTTCTCTATCTATTGTAATTTAATGGACCATTCATCAGTCTAGTCTATTTTAGGTTTATTTTGAATACTGAAGTGGATAGTTTGTTTAAAAGATTAGATGTCGGAGTGCAGAAACTGATTTTCCCAGTGTGATTTAATAAAGCAACATCTCTTCCTATCAAACTGTTTTAAAATGGGAACTCTGTCTTCTTAACTCACAGCTCAAAAACGAAGCAGCACCAACTGAGCGTTTCCGTACGGACAGGCAGAGCGTTTACAAGAGCGAGCCGCTTCCTCTGTGCTTGCAGTAACAAAAATAAGCCGAAGTCCTGACATAGTTGTAGTATTTTTATTCCTAAAGGAAAAAACAGGAACTTTCATTGTGCTTTCAAGTTATTACCTCAGATATTTTACCAGCTTAGCGCTGAGAATCCGTTTCAGACACAAGAGACCCGCGGCTCTCTCTAGGAAATGCTCAATTAGGGTGGTGCCTGTGCAATGCCCAGGGGTCCTGTAACCCATCGGGGGTTCCCGAGGGTTTCTGCAGCGCACAGCCCTGGCTGCGAGGCACACATCAGGCTGGGGATTTTCCTGTTGCCTGGCTGCTGACCCCCTACAGGAAGATAAGGGACAAGCCGAGAGGGCGGAGCAGCGTGCTACACATGTCTGGCTGCTCTTATCAACTTATCATATAAGGGAAGGAGGGTGATTGATTTGGGTCCTGACACCACAGAATCTGGGGGCCAGAAACAAAGAGGCATTAACACTGGTCTGTAGAGGGAATACGGCCCTCCCCAGTGAGCAGGGCGACTCTTCCTGCTGCGATCTGACAGTTTGGAGAGCAGACGGCACTGAACACCACTGCTGGCTGCTAGGAAAGGCGGGGAGACAGGAGACTCCCACGGATGGACCTTAAGCCCTGGTAACAGGGCTGAGTGGGCAGCTGAGGACCGGCTTCCCATGTGCTCTGGAGTTCGCTAGGCTGGTGGTTTTATTACCAAAAGGAAGAATGTGGCAGATTGTTTTCTTTACTCTGAGCTGTGATCTTGTCTTGGCCGCAGCCTATAACAACTTTCGGAAAAGCATGGACAGCATAGGAAAAAGGCAGTACCAGGTCCAGCACGGCTCCTGCAGCTATACGTTCCTCCTGCCAGAGACGGACAACTGCCGCTCGTCCTCCAGTTCCTACGTGTCCAATGCTGTGCAGAGGGACGCGCCGCTGGACTACGACGACTCTGTGCAGCGGCTGCAAGTGCTGGAGAACATCATGGAAAACAACACGCAGTGGCTAATGAAGGTAGGAAACGCTGCTGCGACTCCGCATGCAGTCCCAGCCTCCGAGGCTGGCTCTGTTTCCACAGCAGAAAGTAGTGTGGGTGCATGTGTGTGCGGATGTGTGCGTGTGTGCATGTGCGTGTGTTAGGGGGACTACAGCGGGAGAGAGATGGTTGCTGAAACCTTTGAATGAATTATTATTTCTCGCAGTCAATGCCAGGGTGTCAAGTAGTCATGGTTGAAAAGTGGAAAGGGTTATTTGAAAAGAATGCCAGAATCCATAGAGAAAAATCCCTCAAGTTAGGAATCTTTATGCAAAAAGGAGACGAAAGCTTGCAGGCTGCTCTGCTTGTTGAACTCCTTTACACTCAGCAACACCCACTGCCAGGGACGGTACTAAGCGGGGGCAGGCATGTGAGGGAAGCTGTGAACAGCGGCGGGGGCCAGGAAAAACGTGACAATCATGTTAATTACTGATACATAACGGATGGAGTCAAGTGCTTTACCAATTTCCTGAATTTATTTACTAAAATAGATTGTGACTCTTAGTAAATGAGAGGAAATTAAATAAAGCAGACCTTATGTTTCTCAGGATCTCAGGGCTTTACCCCAAGGGCGTGTCATTTGTAATCGGGGTAAGTTTTCCCCCAAGTGTCCGGAGGGGGAGCCAGCGCCGCAGCCCCCCCGTCAGCTGCAGCCCTGGCTTTGAAGGGGACCCACGTGGGACAGGAGCACAGGGCCGGCTTCCTGCACTTATGCTGTGACAAGGCAGTCACGTTCTCGGGGCTGCAATGATTCCACCGTTTCAGAGAATTAGCCAAAATGGGGGCGACCGAAAGCTGAGTCTTTCCTTCACAAGGGATCATGTTCACATGTAAACCTGGGAGCTATTTATACAAAAGCCACCAACACCCTGGAATTTTGCTTTATGTGGACTATACACATAGCCTAAAGGCGGTTTAAACAAATTGTGGAAATAGATTAATCATGAACTATCACAGTGACGTTACAGCGTGATGCTCACTTGGTAAAGGAGGGGACTCTGCAGCCTCGCAGGAACTTTCACAAGCTCCTCTGCCCCGTTCCCGGCTTTCCCCCAGAAAAGCGTGACTATGTCCCGTCTTTCACTCCACCATGAACTTTCTGTTAGGATACCGTATGTTAATCTCAGAAGAGATCTCAGCTCCTAATCTGTGTTTCGCATTAAGTCTCCTGCCTTCAGAGAGGAAACGACTAGTTATTAGCTGAGCCCTGAGCCTTAATGAATGAATGCTCCCAGCATGGCTCTCACTGCGACAGGAGGGGTCGCTTCAAATCAAAGGACAGAAAACAACAGCAACTCATCCAGACCCGCTGTGTAATACAAAACTCCTTAGCAATATCTTCATAAGCACATCCCTCCTGGGTAAAAATTTTCCAGTTTAAGTTTTTCTCTTTTCCTGAGAAGGTCCCCGTGGTCGGCTCTTTTTAAATCTTCTGAAACTCACAGGTGTGTCAGTAATAACGGTCAATGTAAAAAAGGACGCAGCGACACCGGTTCAAATATTTGGAAGACAAAGCTGTCTCCCAAATCTCGGCTCACTCTGACTTCCCACTTTTTTTTCAACAAGGGTGGCTCACGTGCGTGCAGAGCCTCCCTACAGGGCACTGCTGCCAGGATAAGCTTAGGGCTGACAGCCAGGGGAGGGAAGACGAAATACACCCCATTCTAGTAAACATTCTAATCTGCCCAGCTGGCAAGGCATCTCTTAAAATAAACAGTCACAAAGCATAAAAGGAGGTTTTGCCAAATGCAAGACTGCTAACCTGCATCTGCTTAGTGATGCCCACGTTACGTCTACCTGAAGCTCAGAGGCAAAGCTCCTATTTCTTTCTTAGATACACAACCCGCTGCTCTTGGACCCTTGAGACTGTGTTTAAAGAAGAAAAAGGACACGGGACTCGACATGACATGACCCCAATTTCTTCCCTTTCCAGGTTCACTTAGTAAATATTTGAACAGTGGCACAGTGGCATTTCTAAATTCCTTCTATAGCTATCTAGCTAAATATCACCAAGAATGACTTAATGTTTATCTTTTCCTCGGCTCAGCACCTGCTCTCCTGCGCTATCTGGGCGACACACACCTGAGGAAGTCAGTTTGCATTCTCACTCGGTTTATGGGCTTCGGGGTTGGGAATGAAAGCAAAAGAGCAAATAGGAACCCACTTAAAGTGGTTACATGTAACCTCCTGCTTGTTTTTTTCTTTGGTGTTTTGTCACCTGTGATAATAAACACTGCTTTTCTCATAAGGGAGAAAATAATAAATAGTGGGGATGACAGATAAGCCACCGATCAGAGGAGCAACACCGCACTCTAACACCTATTGCTAGGTTATCACAGAGAGAAAAAGCGTGGTTCTGTGTTTTTCTTATTTCCTTTTCTTTAGGGCTGTTTATTTTTTTTATGTTTCCACATTTCCTTTCTCTCCCTGACCAATAATGAAAATAAAAGAGAAAGAGAAACAACAACAACAAAAACCCCTTTAAGCTTTTAAGAAAACTTGTCAAGAAGGAAAATAAGACCAAGTTTCTGGTTAATTTCAAGGCAGATGAATAGCATTTGAGCTTCTGAGGCTTTAGTGTTGCCGAAGGAGCTTAGACGAAGACAGCTGGCTGCACATCATCAAAAGATGCCACGCTGCCCCTTTAATCTGCCAGGCAGAGGAAGTGCAGGACTTCTGAATGAGTTCAGGGGGTATGAATGGAACAATACAGGGAAGGCCAGCTCTCTGCTTAGTGCAGAAACCAGGGTAGTTCCTGCACCAGATACGACACAATGACCTACAAAAGCACTGTGTGTCATGTTCCCTTGCTAATCCTGCAGCGATTCTGAACCTCTGCCCCAGGGATAGTAAACACACTTTATAAGAACTGAATAATAACTTACAAAATGGATCATGTCTCGCTAGGAGACCGAATGTTTTTTTTTTTTCCCCTTCCCAATAAGAGGAAATAGGGAAAGGAAATAAACAACTATTTCACACTGATGAATACCTCGAATTTATAAACAACTGCAAAGTCTATTGTGCTTTAAAACGGAATGTTTTGAAAAATACAGCTAATACCTATGAAATTGAGGTAAACATTTCCTCTGTCATCTCACTTATTTTTTTTTTAAATGACAGAAGTACAGGCTAGAAACTAAATCTGAATTGAGATCCTTTCCTTACTTTAAAAGAGTGATATATCCTTTTAATAAGACATGAGAACTACCCCTCATCAGTTGATATATAGGGAACAGTGCGGTTTTGCATCTAAAAGCAAAATTACTGTCAATGGGGAAAACTGATGATGAGACGCTCACATGAGCGCAGATCACCAGCCCCTCCCCCACCCCTGCCAGGGACTCTGTGTTGA